CCCATAGCTTATCAAGATTATTTTGGTGGCAGAATTGATAGGCTTCAAATACACTTTGATATCGAATTTCTTCTGCCAAAAGAAAAACATCTTTATCTACTGGTATGAGGGGATGTAATATTGAATACCTTGTGACCATTCTTAATAATCTTTCTTCAAATTCTTTAGAACACACATTACTCTGCTGATTTCCAGGAATCCACATGGAGTTAATGAAATTGAATTGAGAATGTGCTTCGCTTGCTTTCTGTGTCATATATTGAGTTTTCCTTAAATTTTATATAAAAAAAAAGAGAAATAAGAGAAACGTGGAGAGCATTAAAAAGAAAACCACAAAAAACAAAAAAAAAAGAAAAAAAAAGAGAAATAAAAAAAATTTTTAAATTTATTTAACTTATATTTACCTAACTTTTGTTTCTTTTAATTTGCGTCTAATTGCACGTTTCATATGCCAGAGACAAAGGTGGATTACTGTAGTTTGAGACCAAGCATCACGAACAGCTACGATCTCTCCAGCATCTTTGTCAAGCAGCAAGAAGGCAGGTAGAATATGTTCATTATGCAAACTTTTAAAAAATTCTATAAGTATGCTGACTCTTGAATATACCTCATTACTAAAATTTTAATTTTTAAATTTAAATTTAAATTTTTAATTTCAAAAACTTAATTTTTTAATATATGATACATATCTTGGATTTGAGAGCTGTTCTCCTGATGTAGTGCAAGAGGAATGCCATACCCGCCATAATTAATATTTACAGCAAAAAGTTCAAACCGCTCTTGGTTTGTTTTAAATGTTGAATCAACAACAATTTCAGTGATATTTTCTTGAGCTTGAAGGAATAGAGTGGTAAAGCCAAGTGCACGCACGAACTCATTCTCATAATACAAAATAATTTTATATCCCTCATCTATTAACTCTCTCTGTTCTAAAAAATTCTTGGCAAAATTTAGCTGATTTTTAACATCAGTCATATATTGATTTACTGAGAATTTGTTTACCCAATAATATACTTGGTGATAAGTGTGTATTGATGGGTTAAGCAAATTCTTATTACAAAGCCGTTTATAGAACTCGACTTTTCGTGGAATATTGTTGATGTTTTGTTGTATCCATATTAAGGCATTGTCAGGTAATCTTGTTTCTCTATACGTTGGACATTCATGAGCTAAATGTTTCACGGATATTATTGCTTTCTGTTTGCACAAATCCATCTCAAGTTTTATAACTCCTTCACATAAAAAGTGTTGAATAGCAGGCCGTGCTTCACTTATATGTTGTGCAGGTTGGTTATTTGGATTTATATATTCACGATCTGCTCTTTAATAATATAATTTTAAAAGTAATTAGTTAATTGTAACTAAATAATTAAACTTTTTTAGTTTGGGCTATATAAACTTAATTGGATCTCATAAACCAGCTGGTCAAACTCGATTAGCTTAGAACTTTATCGAAGGTTGGTTTCTAACTATGAAATAGTACTAAACAATTACTCGTCTAATTTATCATTAATTCAAATAGTTAGAAATCGATCTTTGATTAAGTTCTAAATTAATTGAGTATTCAGATGAAAAACAGTGATAAAATTGAGATCCAAAAATTAATATCATATAGCCTTACTATTAACAAAAATCTTAGCAGGTTCTAACCTTTGAGTACAGCATAGACGAGCTGTTGCACACTCTATATATTGACCATCTTTTATATTAGGGTATAGATTTCGAATCTCCCAATAGTATCCGGATCCCTCTTGAAGAGGTATGAGCAGTGTCTTTGCTATAGCACGAAATTTTTTAGTTTCCATATCTTGGCCAGATTCTAAAGACAAAGCATCATTATCCACTATCTCTTTTTCAATGTCTACTGTTACAGTAAACTTAACATTGGCATTTAATTCTTCATCTCTAAATTTGATAGCTATAAGCTCTTCGAGACCACTTAAATTATAAATCAAGTCATCCTCATGAGTTTCGCTATCAATTGCATCGGCAGATGTTCTATCAGGTGATGTGTCTCTTTGTCGTTTTCCTTTCTTACGTATTCTGTCTTTTTCAGCACAATCATTACATGTAGCGAAGATCTTAATACTTCTTCCACTGGATCTCATAAATTCAATAACTGGTTTGAACTTTTTGCAAGAGGAACACCAGGGAGTTTCATTGTTAGAGACTTGATTTTCATCATTAGAGTCATAAGTTTCACTATTAGGGTCGTAAATTTCATTATTAGGGTCATAAGCAGGGTCATGAGTTGGAATGTTAGAAGTAGACATTTTCAGCGTTTAGAAAGAATCTTTATAGTAGGAAGTTCGTGTATACTATAAGTGAATTTTCGAGTCAATATGACATTATTTATACTAATAAATTTCGAAAGCAAGCTTTATTTTTTTAATAACTTGACAAATTAATTTAAATTTTCGCCTTTGTATAAACTGATTTATTAACTTATGAGCATGTTATTAAACATTAATTTAATTACGATATTAAAATTTAAATAATAATACAAGTTTTTGTCTT